GGCTATTTTTTGGTTGCAGCCATCATTGTTGTTTGGCGGGTCCAGACTGGATTTGAACCCGCCACCTTAGGTGTATGTGGCTGGCGCCTTAGCTGCTTGAGCCACAGGCGCCGAGCCAATTCATGGTAATTTAAAAGTCACTGTATCTTTCTGTATTGGTGTTGTATTCCAAAAAGTCCCTGAGGGTGTTTCTGGTTAATACTATGAAAAGCATCAGGGTGCATTTGCAGGCTGGTGTATGTGTATAATTTATGGACTTAAAGTATAATAATTGTTTCTCTTTCCTAGAGATTTAATTTAGTTCATCAAAAATATATAATACTTCCATTATCAAAACATAAGAAATGCTCCCTTAAACATAGCCTTATGTTAAATTTGCTAAAAGTGACATAGTTTTGCCCTTTTATAAGCTTTAATCTAAAAAATGTTTAAGATGCAGGGGATTTGATTCCAATGAACGAAGAGGCAACAAGAAGAAAGGAAAAAAATCCCTGTTAATTTTACTGACTATTCATTACTTACAGCCCTCAGGGTAGAGAAAAGGAGTAGGAAGTTGCAGTGAGGAGAAAAGGAAGAGGACGGTGGCAGGCAGGACACAGTGCGTCTACAACTGCAAAGGCTCTAGTGACACATGAGCACAATATAAAAAACATTCCCTCTGAAAATATTCTTCACAGGGCTTTTCAGAGTGACCCTGCAATACCCACACAACAGAAGGCAGGGTGGTTTCTCAACAGTCTTTCTTTCCTCACGGAAGCAGCTTATTCGCAGGCCGTTTTGATAACTTGAGATTAGCCAAGATTATATTATATTTCGATTTATCCATTTAGCATTTTGGGTCCCATCATTAATTGGATTATTTGCCAGCCCAGCTGCAGAAAGACTGTTTATTTGATCCCTGTAATCACTTTTCCTCCTTATGAACAGAGAGCACTGATTTTAGTTTTTGGGTTCTGCTTTTAATTGAATGCTTTTTTTAACCTAAATTTCTTTTTGAACAGTAATACATTCACATGATTCAAAAGCATAAAAAAGGTATTAACAAGAGCCTTCTTCCCATGTTACCTCATTTGCTTAGTTCCTGCTCTTTCCAAGAGGAAGACACTCTTAGCAGTGGTCCACAGATGACATAAGAGAACCTATGGTCTATCTTTTCACCATTGGAAATATGACCTTTAAATTTATTTTGTTTTAGGGTTTGTTTTCTTTAAGTTTGTTGTTCACACCTTTTGAAGTCCTTTTTTGGGGGCATTGCCCCAGGAGCTGCAGGAAGAGGAGCTTTCTTGGGAAGCAGCATTATTCCACACGTCCCCTTCTTCATCCTCCCATTGGCTGGTACCGAGGTTCATTTCATCCCCACCACTGCCCCAGCCTTCTTGCATAGATTTTGAAGCTAGAAGAGAGCCAACATGAACTTATCAAATTCTCCATGCCTCCTTCACTATAATATATAATTTAGGGAAGGTGGGGCAAAATGGGTGTACTGCAATCTACCTTTTTACTAATTCATTTTCCCAGATTTAAAATTGAATTTCTCCTACTAGATATGTAATATCTATATATGTATGTGTACATATACATATAATTTTCCTTGTAGTAGTCTATGTTGTTCCAAATTTACCAACCAACATGCTAAAAAGAGATCCTGAGGGCTGTAAGAGAAGGTGGCAATCTCTACATGGAATGAAAAGCCTACGAACTGTCATTGTCTTCTGGGTGGTTCTTAACACTGCTTGACCCAAACCTGTGAGCATCACATCACAGACACCAGTGCTCCTCAAACTGACCCATCCGTGACTGTCAGCCGGGCAGCACACACAGTGCAGCGGGGCTGAGCTCGGGCCCAGCAATCTGTGTTTTTAACAAGCTCCCAGCAAACACTGAGTAACTAGCTGGACAGAGGTCTTAGGCAGATGGAGCTATAAATCATTTCCAATCTCAAGATGTTATTTTTTTCTTCTTTCTTAAGGTACAAAGTGACTTTTGGTGTCAAAATTACCCCAAATTTTCATTCCTTGGAAGAACATGAGGAAGGCCAAAGACTGCTAGGGTCTCTCAGATGGTAAGATAGGGCAGGCATATAACTGAGTCTCTAGCTCAGACTCTAAAATGCATGTGAATCTAAACACTCAGTAGTTTCTTTATTCTTTAGATTTCCAATAAGAAGTAATACAAGCGAATCAATACTTCCAGTAGAATGGCAGATACATGGAACAGATTATCCACTATTAGCAAAATAACAAAATACAACACCATTGAAGTTGCATTTTAAGATCTAGGACATCTAATGATACCCAAAGAAAAGATACAGTTTTTTCAGTCATGTGAATAATTAAAGTTTTCTTTCTCTTTTTTTTTTGAGACAGAATCTCAAGCTGTTGCCCTGGGTAGAGTGCTATGGCATCACACACAGCTCACAGCAACCTCAGACTCTTGGGCATAAGCAATTCTCTTGCCTCAGCCTCTCAGTAGCTGAGACTCTAAGCACCTGCCACAATGCCCAGCCATTTTTTGGTTGTTGTTGTCATTGTTGTTTGGCAGGCCCGGGCTGGATTCAAACCTGCCAGCTCCAGTGTATGTGGCTGGCGCCCTTAGCCGCTGAGCTACAGGCACTGAGCCAATAATTAAAGTTATTATAAGACTTAAATCATAGTCTTACATCATGTTACTATTATAAATATCACACTGTAAAACACCCTCATGTTACAAGAATTACACTTAGTAAACATAATCTGGACATTTGTAAGAATACGTGTATATATATTATTTGTATGTTTGTTACATTTTAAGAAAATGCGAGGAAAAATGAACATTTTTTTTCTTTTTTCAAGTTGTTTAAGCATAAATATAGAGTACCCAAGAAATTGCTGTGAACTAATACATGTTTTTAAAAACTAATCTTGAAGAAAAAAATGACACGGATTATCCATCTTGCTCAAATAGCAAGTTCAAATAGCTTAATGTGGCAGGTACGTGGATACTGCTGAAGCATGTGTATTACTAGCAGCAGCAAATACACGTATATGCTAGGTTGCTTTAATTCTTTGTGTTGCTATAAAAAGGAGGGCATAGACTTCTGCTAAAAACTCCTTTGTGTTCACGAATCAGACAAGACAATACTTCTCTACAGTCTTGGTTTTACGTTAGTTTTAAAGTCTAAGTGTATGAGAAAAGTGTCCCCAAAATTTAGTTTTTAAGAACCAGTGAAAAGTCCCCCTCAAAATAAAGTTCTTGGAGAGCCAATTCTAAACCATCAGATCAGTGCAAGCAGAACACCAGGCTCACCTGGTTTGCACAGGGCCGGGGCAGCAGCGGGTGCACCTGCTCTTCCGAATGCCACAGTGGGTTCTGCAGGGCGATCTCCCCATCCGCTGCCACTGCTGGGTGGCTTCCCCCATGCTGCCGTGCCATTGTCAACCAGGGTAGAAGGGGAAGATGGCTCTCCCCAAGAGTTTTCAGCCTTTGAGTGAACATTAGGCATTTCTCCCCAGCCTGATGAAACTGAAAAGGGCACCAAGGGGTATATCATATAATAAGAATAAAACAGAGAGGAAGTAAACATGTAATTCATTTTTCAATTTCAAAATAGTTTTAAAATAATCTATCTTTGGGATGGCCTTCAATAGAAAGCTAAATGTATATAAATGTATTAAATCTAATCACATTTGTTTACCTTATTAAAGCTGCAATTTTCTTACCCTTGACCTCTACCCATTTGAAATTTTAAAAGTCCATTAAACACTAAAGTTTTTGCAACATAATAGGATTTAAAAGAATAGCTTAAAACTATGTTTGAGAAGTAGCTTGCATATTTTTGGTATTGGATGCAATGACCTAGAAGAAATTGTATGTTACATTACTCTCTTGTAAGAGCAATTGACAAGTTGCCAATACACACTGAAAAATTATTCTTGCTTATTTTTTGACCACGATAGATGTAGTTTAATCTATTTGGGCAAAGAAATGAGAAGATGGCAGTAAACACACAAAGGTAAAGTGATACTAGAGAATGCAAGCAGCTCCCACAGTACCACCATGAGGGTTGTCTGAAGCATTTGTCTCAGAATGAACAGAGTTGAGGAATTACGACCAGCACCCGTAGTTCCAACAGGCACAATGATCTCAAGGCCTTGTTGAAAATTCTTTACTGCTTTGCCTAGTCCTATTGTGACAGCATTCTTAGGAACTGATCCCCGACGGAAACTAAGTAAGGACTGACAATGAGTATAGAGGGTGTGCACTCTCAGTGAGACCTGAGCACAGGCGCAAACTGCAGATCCACTTAGAAGTGAATTTTCTTCCACCTCAGCCTCCTGTGATGCCGCCTCCTGAGCCTACTGTGAGGATGACAACAGTGATGAGGACCGTTATGCTGATCTACTTCCATCTAACAATTATTAAGAATATTTTCTACAATCCTTATGATTTTCCTTTTTATTATTACATATATCTTTTGAGACAGAGTCTTACTATGTTGCTCTCAGTAGAGTGCTGTAATGTCACAGCTCAAAGCAACCTCAAACTCTTGGGCTCAAGTGATCCTCTTGCCTCAGCCTCCCAAGTAGCTGGGACTACAGGCACCCGCCATAACACCCAGCTATTTTTTTGTTGCAGTTGATTAGCTGGCCTGGGTCGGGTTCGAACCCGCCACTCTTAGTGTATGTGGCTGGTGCCATAACCACTGTGTTATAGGTGCTGAGCCATCTTATGATTTTAATACCATTTTTTTTCTTAAGCTTACTTTATTGTATGAGTTCATGAACTCATCCTAGAAAAAGTGCTACCTACCTTACTGCTGAATATCACTATGGTCACCTTTGAAGAATTTCCCTTGGGAAGCTATGCTTTGATGTACTCTTTTCCCAGAATGGCCATCAAAGCTGGCATCGTATTACTCTTGATGACTTCAATGTTACCAACATGTCTTCCTTTTAATATTCCCTTTATTTTCAGGTAAAGAAAAAGTCATTGGGGGCCAGATCAGGTAAATAGGGAGACAGTTCCAATATAGTTATTTGTTCACTTACTAAAAACTCCCTCATAGACAGTGCTGCATGAGCTGGTGCATGGTTGGGATGCAAGAGCCATGAGTTGTTAGCCAAGATTTTCAGTTAAGATTTTCCTATTTTCTCCATTGATGTTTACTTGGTCTGCTATTCCTCACAGTCAGCTGACAATTTTGATGAAAAATTGAATAAATTTTTGCAATGTTTTATCAGTTCTACTCTACTGGTTGCTCTGACCTCTCTTCACCAGTGAAGCTTTCTCTCTCCTCAGAAGAACATTTAATCCATTTGCACATTGGTGTTTTCGTCATGACAATATCCCCATAAACTTGGACTAACATGTCCCTGATTTTACTTCCATTCTTGCAAAGTTTAATGAGAAATATACAAATGCTTGTTCACTGTTTTAATTCAAGCTTTGACGTTCTTACAATGTGACAGCACACAAAACCAAACAGCAATAATGCATGTCACTCAGCAAGATACCACCACACGTCGACATGAACACAGGTGTGAGACATCAATACACCAAGGTTATGAAGCCATACCACGTTGTTTATACAGTGCTGCCAATGCAAGTGCACAGTGGCAAGTTCACAAACTTGACTGTTAGATCTCACAAACATACAAAATATGTGTTAGCCTATTGTATGTTATCAGCAAGGCTATTAGTTAAATTTCATTAGAGTCAAAAGTTACACTCAGATTTTTACCTGTGTAAGGAGTCAACACTCAAAACCCTAATGTTGCTAAAAAGTCAAGTGAATTATCTATAGACAAGGATGTGGTATAAGACCAGGCAACAAGAATCTGTCCAAGTGTTTTATATTTCAGTAAAAATATTTTATATTAAATACATAAACTTTATTTTTCTAAACCAACTCAAATTCTAAAAAATTTGCTTCTGCTACAAGCTCACTTTGCAGTGCTGACAATTACAATGATAGCTGTGTCATGTGTAATTTGCACACAGATGCATTTTATCAGAGATAGAAATATAAATATTTTAGTGTTAACTGAAGTAGAGAAAGCATTTCTGCTTATAACTTCATTTTACAAGAGAAAGCAATGGCATAAAATACAAATAGTTAACTGCAAATTTTAAATTATTTGGTCTCAACATGGTTATTATAAAACCAATTAAAATAATTTTCTAGCTAAAAACACCATGAAACAGTTCCTTTCCTACTCTTCATTCTAATAAGATGCAGTAATATTAACAGCAAAAGACATACAGCCTACAAATTATTATCATTATTATTGAGACAGAGTCTATGTCACCCTTGGTAGAGTGCCGTGATGTCACAGCTCACAGCAACCTCAAACTCTTGGGCTTTAGTGATTCTCTTCCCTCAGCCTCCCAAGTAGCTGGGACTACAGGCACCCGCCATGACACCCAGCTATTTTTCTGTTGCAGTTGTTTAGCTGGCCCGGGCTGGGTTTAAACCCGCCACCCTAGGTGTATGTGGCTAGTGCCATAACCACTGTGCTACGGGCGCTGAGCCACAAATTATTTTTTTGAGACACAGTCTTATTTTGTTGCCCTGCGTAGGGTGCCATGGTGTCAGCCTAGCTCAAAACAACCTCAAACTCTTGGGCTCAAATGATCCTCCCACCTCAACCTCCTAAGCAGCTGGGATTATAGGCACACACCACTATGCTTGGCTAATTTTTCCATTTTTAGTATAGATGGGGTCTTACTCTTGCTTAGGCAGGTCTTGAACTCGACCTCAAGGGATCCTTGGCCTCCCGGAGTGAGGGATGAGCCACTGTGCCTGGACCAATGAATTATTTTAAAATAAATAATCACTCTATGCTGAGCAATATATTATGCAAATTGTTACCAATAACAGAAGATTAACCCTAATTGATCACTGCTAGCCACTGCTGACTATATTACCTTTAGTTACACAGAAAACAACAATATGTATTGAGAAAAATAGTTTTATAAATTGAAGGGACAAAATTGAATCAGGAAAATTAACAGAGATGCTAAAAATTATGAATGTTTTAGGAAGCTAAAATAACATAGGTGTTGCTAAAGATCAATTAACTATAAAAATACTGACTTGTTGTAGATAATTAAATAATGAATACCTATAATTTGTCATCTCTATTCTATCTCTTTGAAAGGCAAAATGTACTATAAGTTACTTAAGTAAAAATTAAGGATATTAAGACTATGGGAAGTATAACTGATTTTTATAAAGAGTTATAAATTCTGCCTAAAAGCAGAAATGTTTACAGAGTAGCAAGCAGGCTTCAAAATCTTAGAAATAAATGGAAAAACACTATTTACTCAAAATTCAAAACAACAATATTTGCATTTTAAGTTGGCCTCTGACAAGACTATCTTTACCTACAATGCCAAACTAACACAGCCATCTGGATGTGTGCACCATCTAGAAAAGGTGCTGAAAACTAACAGGCTAGATCATGTTGATGCTAAGCCAAGTATTTTCAGTAGGTAGAAAATAACTTTAAATGTATAGTATCGAAATAAATATAATCTGCATGTTCAGTGTTTACTGCTAGGATGAATCTGGCATCCTTTGTTAATAATTTACAGGGATTCTTTTAAAGTTGGGCTTGAGGGGGAGGGAGGAGGAGGTATGGAGGGAGGGTAACTGGTGGGAACACACCTACAGTGCATTTTACAAGGGTACATGTTAAGTTTACTAAGTGTAGAGTATAAATGTCTTAACACAATAACTAAGAAAATGCGGTAAAGGCTATGTTAACCAGTTTGATGAAAATATATCAAATGGTATACAAAACCAACACATTGTACCCCATGATTGCATTAACATACACAGTTATGATTTAATAAAAAAAAAGTTGGGCTTGATGAAGCAGAACAAATTTCTCTCTTACATTTATAACACTGATACTAAAATTTGAAAAGTGGTCCTTCATATACTACTATTTTTTGCAAAATATTTTTATACTATGGGGTTCTGGAATCATTACCTCCCTTAATCTACTTCAACTGAACCAATATAGTTAGGAATAATAAAACAGTAACAATTACCACTGTCAAATGCCACCAGGATATGTAGCTTTCATTCAATTTGAAAATACACATTCTTCATCTTTTTATCAGAACAAAGGGCCTAAGGGCCTAAGTACTGTGCACTCAGAAGACTGGTAATGACTGCAAAACAGATAAAAAGGCCAAGAAATAGATGCTCTTTCCCTAATGATTCCCATCGTGAGCTCTACAGTTAAGGCAGATGGCATTCTTTCTTCTGTAAAAGAAGAAACCAATTCTAGCTTGTTCCATGGATGCTGCATATATACTGTATATAACATGTGTGTATGTACTTATGTATAAGAGATGAGGTCTCGCTCTGTTCCTCAGGCTGGTCTGGAACTTGTGGCCTTGAGCAATCCTCCCACTTCAGCCTCCAAAACTGTTAGGATTACAGGCCTAAGCCGGGACTACTTACATAGTTTTATAAGTATGACAGGTGGTCCTTTTTGGGAAGAAAGGTT